TATGGACCAATGTCAGCCGTCTCTCGGGCCCCTTCCAGCTCGGGGCCCTAGGCAATTGCTTGAGTTGCCTGCTTTGTTGCAACACCCCTGTGTGTTAGTAGACATTAAAATGAACTTGGAGGAAGAAAATTAGTGTATTTTAATTGTGTATTTTTTATATATATGTTGACAAAGAGTTTGCACATTGTTCTTACTCCAGATTACATACCTTAATACTCCCAAAGCTCCTAAAAATCACACCATTTCATATTTAAAGAAGAAAGGTGGAGGGGGGCACAGGGGTCAGTCTAGTCATTTCATTGTTATTCATGTTTCACTGTATTGTTTATTGATAACCTCATGCCTGATGCTCTGCCTACTTGAGCTTTCTCCTATTTTTTATGCCAGAATAATGCAGAATATAATCATAATACAGAATTTTAACTTCCTAAAGGACGATGTGATGTGAAGTTATAGTGTAACAGAGCTCAGGAGTTGTATAACAGAGTGGTTACTAAACTGGTTTACAAAGTCACCACATGTTACTTTCAAAAAAAATAAACCAGGAAGTGATGCATCATGTCAGTTTTTACTTTTCTCTGAGCTCTCTCCTGCTCCCTTCTGTCCTTCAGCTACTGAGCCGAAACAAAACTGGGTTATTTGGCTTGGATGGTTTCAAAGTGAGAATGTTTGGACACATGCTGGTCTGCAGGGCTTGTGTGCTGTGGGTGTTTTTCTTTCCACAGGGCTCCATGTCACCATTTGATACACAACATGCCTTGTGGGCCAGTCTCCTGCCCTTCACGCTTTTGCACACTCAAACAAAGTGGCAAACACAAGCTTCCATATGCACAGTGACACGCATAAATTTGCACACCGGATTAATTAGAGCGCATCTTGTTAATTATAGTTTAGCAACCGTTGCCAGGTTTATACATTTCCTGTTTCCTGTCCTGCTGCCTGTTGTTGTTTTGCTGTCTATTAGTACGTGAACCAGGCTGTGATGTGAATTACATAAGCACTACACCTCCCAGTCCACAAAACATTTTTGTCTTTACAGTACTGAATACAAAACTCTTTATTGTCCCTTACTGTTTCTGTTATTCACGGTGCAGTGGTCGGTTCCCCACCTGAAACCAGGTAAAATAGTCCCAGAAACCATACAACCAAGTCCCTAAGTCCCAGATTGTGTTACGAATGAAGGGCATCTCCTGCGAAAACTCTGCCGAGTCATTCTGCAGACTGACCCCTGATAAAGGGACAAGCCAAAAGTAACTCTCCATCAATCAAAGTTTAACCCAATCCCTGCTATCTGTTATTATCAATTAATGCAAATAATGCAATTTGGATCTGTTTTTTCGTGTGGTTACAGATATTTGTCACAAACAAATAAATCATTTTATTATATTAGAGGTTATACCCTGTGAGATAACACTGAAAAAGCTCTCAATTTCAACAATACATTTGCTGTATTATTTCCAACATACCCTGCTGTCATTTGTGACATATATTTTGTGTTTTTCCACTCCGACTCGGTGGAAAGGTCACATGTGGAAGAGTTTAAGCCTAAAGACAACAAGCACAATATCACAACGCATTATTTCTGTGGTGGCAGCATTTGTGACGTTATTAACCTTTAAATCTGTGAGCTGCTGTGGTCCGAGGGAGTGGAGTGGTTAGAAATCAACCAGAATAACATGGTAAGATTCAGAGTAAGAGTCCTGGCGTAAGATGGTGAGGACTGGGATGTTCAATTGGATCAAACACTTATGATAAAGAAAATGTCAAAATATGTGTAGCAAAATGCTGCACATAGAAAACAGGAAATGTTAATAAATCAAATTAAAAAACCTGATTGTCTGATTTCAGGGTTTGAGGTTCTTAAGACCACGTGTTAAGATGACTTGCAGCTTCATAAGAGTTCCAAACCCATCACCTGCCTCACCCGTTGTAGTGTGTCAATACCAGGTTTAAATAAATGCATAGGATGTACGGCGAGTAACCTATCCATCATCTACCACTTATTCCTTTTCAGGGCTGCCGGGGCGCTGCAGTGAATTCCAGCATCCTATGAGCCAGGAGGGGGTAACACCCTAGACAGTTCTCCAGTCCATCACTGTGCCACATATAAAGACAAACAACCATTTACACCCACATTCATATCACCCTTTAGAGTGTTCAATCAATCTACTCTCATAGTAAACAAGCCGCAGTATCAGAGAACCCCCACACACACCCTACTCTCATAGTCGCAGTATCAGAGAACCCCCACACACACAGGGAGAACATACAAACTCCATACAGAAAGATCAACCGCAAATGGAAACCAGCGATCTTGTTGTAGAGACAAGTGTTCTAACAACGCTTGCCACATAGTGGCCAATGAGGAGATGAAGAAAAAGAAAAAGCAGTTATGCTTTAAACAGCATTTATGTCTGACATTGTTAAGCAACTACAAAATTTCTGCAATTTTCCAATTGCTACAGGTTTGGAGCAGCACCTCCCTAAATTCAGACAGAAAGGTGATAACTGGGAAATAGCTTGTGGTCATAATCTCCTGACAATATTAACTACACACAACAGCTATGTCGTTTTTTTTTTTGTTTTTTTTTTTGTCTTTCTCTTGGTGCAACAGCTTTTAAGCCCCAAGCAAAGTTCAGGGTCAAGCTTGTCAGAGTGGTTCTGCAGTGGACTTTTGTAATGAAATCCCACCTGAAGTGACTCCAAATGTCCAATGTGTGTACAGATGACCGTAGGCAGTGGTCATATGGAAGAGTAGCTTCATGTCTGCCTCAGGCGCTGGACATGTTTACTGCAGTGTGGTTCAAATGTTGGAAATTCTTGTTTTCCCACCAAGTCTTTGGAAATGCAACATTCTTCCATGCGTAAAAATTAAAAGGACTTTTTTTTTTGCAGAATTTAATGATTATTCAGTAAATAAACTGTATGACCTGTTTATATTTAACAGATCTGTGGCACAAAGTACATTAAGTGCTAATATTCTGAATTGTTGTTGTATCATGTTGTTGCCAAATTATTTTAAACCACTATGAAGATCATTTTTGCTTTTTAGAAAAAGTGCCTTGGGGTAAGCACTCAAAAGTTTTTCTTTTTTTTTCAAATCATATCAAAGCTTGATTTAGGATTTAATGGAACAGAATTGGTATGATTCTAAAGTCACTGCTGTTTTCAGTAAACTTTAAAAACTAGGAGCTGTAAGTGTAATGCCAGGGTTTTGTGATTGGGAGGTCAAACTATAGCTGCTATTGATCGACCTGCTTTCAGAGACAATAATCAGGGAGGCTGATGTCAGGCACACAGTGGATCTACCTTGAAGGAATTGATTGCTTTGAACTGCCAGCCATTGGTATGCTTGGACTGGTAGACCGTGGCAGACTGACAAAACAGGGCATGCTGTCTACAAGGGTCAGCAACAACGGAGGAGAGAATTAGTAAAGGAAATTGTGAGAAGAAGGCCGGTGGGTAATACAAAAGAAAAATGAAAAGAGAAAACAGAAAGTTCAGAATAAAATGGAAATAAGTCCAATAGGGCTGTCATCTTCAGGTGGCTACTGACAGAAATCCTCAACAGACAGGAAAGTGTTTCATATCAAGAGTGAACTTCAGTCTTCAATACAGTGGAAATATTCAGGTCACAGATGTTCTGCCATTTTTTGTTTGTTTTTTTAAATAGCAAATGCAACCACTGCCGTGACTATTGTTTGGAGAATTATATTTATTAAATTATTTAATTTTAAGTTTCTCACTACGAATAAAACAAAAGCTATCTAGTAACGAGACCACCCAAAATGAGTGATAGAATTCCTTAGGCTCTACTAGTATAAACTGGAGACTGTACCATTATTTAGTCTTCTTTATTACGCACATCCATAATAATATTGTCGAGAGTAACGAAATGACCGCAACGTCCACAATTGTAGAACGTGAACGCAGTGCCCCAAATTCTATAAAATGAACGCAACTCACAAAACTGTGGAAACGGACGACAAATGGGACATGAAAATTTTGGAATGATGCTATTATATAAACTGCCAGTGAACTCTAAATTAAAAGTGTGAGAGACTAGTTAATGGCCACACTGCGAACTAAAGGACAGGAGACAGGTAGGCATGGCAGCCAAGAAATAGCACCACAATAGCACTGGACATCAGCCTTTTGACAGCAGCCAAAACAAGGCATCCTCACAGTTCAAACTAAGCTAATCTTGTCTTCACAGGTGAGAAACACCATGTTAGTCCAGCCACGGTTCAACATCTGGTCCCACACACAGACACAGAGACAGATTTGAAAGTACATTCTAAAGAAATTCTGCCACTTCTCTGAACTTTGTAATACACATTATGGTATATAATGTTCCAGTTTGACATTTTAGACTCAACAGTGGTCATTATCTATTTAATGTGGACTGACAACTAGCTGATTTTAGACACAAGAGTTCTTTTTTTTTATGAAAAGGCAAAACAGACAGGATAGATGTAAAGATTAGCACAGCGGCTGGGACAAAGGTAATGGCAGCCATTTCAAAAACCAAGATCAGCACGACAGCTGGCAAAGAACAGACCTAGTTTCACTTATGTTGTGTGTCACATTTTACAAGTGCAACTAATCACAATTATTTGATTGTTTGTCCTTCTCCAGAAACAGCTGAGGTAAAATAAGGGTTATGGCATGGCAGCCTGGCAAAACCTCCTCCCACCACCCCAACAAGCAAAAGGGTAGACACCTGTCTGGAACTACATATGCAGCCGTGGAAGACATTCAGGGACACATTATTTTGAAAACACAATGTCACAGGACTTGTGTTTTTGAATTTTTTGCTAATAGGTTAAACTTCATTTATGACAGACCACATGTTCAGCCATATCTCAATGACTCGGATTCGGCAACATAAACTGAAGAAAAGTAAATCAGAAAGGAAACAAACAAGAGAAAAGACAGGTGGTCTTTGCTCTTTATATTGCTATGTATCACACGCACATAAACACACACGGCAAATATCAGCAGCGGCACGGCACAAAATAAAAGAAAAACAACGCTCCTTACTGTGCTGAAGATCTTCAGGATGATCAATCTGGAAATAAAACCCAGAGACGAGTCATGTTAAATACTGGACCTTTGGTCTGAGCACAACATTTGATAAATGATAACTTTCTTATTATAAATTAAATTCCACAGATCGCTTACCTTGCCTTTCAGTTTAAGGAGTAAACTTCTGACGTTGGACAACTTCGACCTGATCTCCGAGCGCAGAAATGTCAGCGTATCTGTTCATTTCAAGCATTGTTGATTTCAAGTTTGGTTCAATGCAAACACTTTATTTACTGCAAAAGACATTGAAGCTGTACTACAAACACTAAAATGGTTAAATATGATTCAATGAGTAAAAACACTCTCCAAACACGTGGGTAAGCCATTTTAGTTAGTTTCGGCCAAAAATAAATACACATAAAACGTTTTCTTCCACTAATAGACCAAGTCAAAATGCCAACTCCCGAGAATAAATATCCCAAACGTCCTTACCTTTTTATCTCAGTCGTTCATCTGGACCAGGTTGGGCCGTCAATTCAGGACCAACTCTGCGCCCCTGTGGCTTTTAAAGCAAGCGGCGACCTATCTCAGTGTCTGACGTTACACGCCGTCAAGGTTTTAGGTATTGTTTATTTTGCCTGCTCAGCCGCATCTTTTTAACTTGACTTCGAAAGCCACAAGATTGCGGTGCATTTAAAGGAGAGTGAAGATGATAACGATGATAACGAAGACTGGTTTATAAGAAGACATTTTGAAACACTGTAGAAATACTGTTGAGGTATTTATAGTCAGGCGGCACCTCAGCAGAAAAGTTAAAATAGAAAGAAATGAACACTATAAACAATGCAGTGAATTTTGCTTTTATTAGAGTGACAGAAAAATGTATATATAAAATTGGTCCAGCCAAGCATATGCCTCTTCCTCTTCCACAGTAGCGGCTGTAGTGGACATTTTTAAATGTCGCGGGTTTGTGAGCAGCGTCGGTCTGTGGCGTCTGTCTCTAGGCAACCGTGAAAGCGCCGCACGCAGGCACAGACACACTGCGGACCGGAGCCGAAGGTTGGGGTAACAGAGGACGGCAGTCGGGTCCTGCATAGATCCCTACCCTGCGAGGGTGCTGGTCTTACCATTCCCTTTGTTTTGTTTTGTTTTTTCCGATCGCTGTTTGATTTAGTGTTGATGTGTGTGTTGACAGAAGTGTGTATTGGACGGACATTGAACATCCTGTCTACTAGTGCTTCTCCTAACTACAAATTCGGGCCAGGGCTTTCAATCGATTATAATTTTACATCAGAATAATCACAGGGTAATTGTGAATTAATCATTAATAGCTGTGGAATAATCATGATTAATCACAGTCATAGTTCATCATCCATTTATCATGATTAATTGTGATAAATGGATGAGCTTGATGAGATCTTAAGTAATAGTAATAATGTAATAATGTCTGTATCGACTGTGTATTAGTGCAGCGATAAGTGAATAGACAGTGGAATTATTGGATATACAGTGTGCATTATTTTGCCAATTCATAAAATGTTTTAAAATTTTAATTCAAATGAATCTACTCAAATGAAATAATGTGTTTACATTAACATTTACAAATGCAGTCTCCTCACAAAGATTTACAGTCTACAATAATAATAATAATTGGTGTTCAAGGCTTTCAAATTCTTGTGTTTCTTTCATCCTGTACGTCTGGTTGTCAGGAAATCGAATGTCAATGGCTCTCAGATTTCTTAACAGTAAATTTATAGTGAATTGATTTGAATATTTCCGGCCAATGTCCCCGATATCCTGTGGTCAAGTAATACACTTAGTTGTATGAGGAGTTTGTTTTGCCCTCAATCATCTGGGCCTGTTCAGACCCACAGACAGATGTACTTTAAGATGGTTCTTCCTCTGTGTATACTGTGTCTGAATATGTTGGAATCTTCGTATTATCGAAGTCAGAGCTCTGTGTCAGTGATGTCCACACTGGGAAAAGCTTTCATAAATCTCTGAATACCATATCTGATTAGAAGATGCTGTCAGCACATTTTACCAAACGTGTCCACTTTTTTGTTTACTGCGTTCTTTTTTCCCCCTTATCTTAGCTGTCACAATGGCTGTAGCTTGGTATGAAAAACAGGGAAAGAATGTCAGACATAGAAAAGCCTACATGTCCAACAGCTGACAAGGCTAAAGCATCTGCAGATTTTAATCAAAGTGTCGGGGGGGTTGTTTCACTGCCTGTTTGAGAATGACATTGAAGAGAGAGACAGTGAAATAAAAGCCACTCATGTTTGGACTGCTTTCCCCATATTTAGATTTTACATTACCTTGATGATATAGTTTTCTATGAAGTTTTATCAAATATAATAACTGATAGTATTTAGTGGTTTAAAAAAATCATTTGTATACTTAAAAACCAGATATCCATAATGTCAGTGACTTGTAGAACACTTCAAGTGTTTCTGTCTAATAATTCCTCACAATTATTTGGTCAAACTAACTGCAGTCTGAGGCAAGCAGGTGTTGCAGCTCAAGTTGAAGCCTCAACAAACACATGTAGATGGTATTTTAAGCTTAAGGTTCAATACTTTTCCCCCAGTGTGAGCAAATAACAACATGTTTATTGACTGTGTATTAGAGCAACAACCAGTGGATTTTGCCTGGGAATTATTGGATATAGATTGCATGTAATTTCTCAGATGATAATTTTTAGGGCAAGAACCACACAAAGAAGTGAAGTGAAGTTCACTCTTCCCAACAGGAGGCGACCTTAAAGTTGAACTTTAGAAACCATCAAGCCGAACAGTGAAAAATATCTGGACCTTGGTCAGAAGGGTGACCTAGAAACATCAAAACCACTTTACAGAGAATGGAGAGGCAGAAAAAACCTGCAGGAAAGTCACACTTTCCAGAAGCTCTTAACCATGAGATGTTTCTGGTCTGGAGTAGCAACAAGACAATTATAAATTGTATTCATATTGTTGAAGGTTAAGGTGTGGTAAAGTTTTTTGTTGAAAATACTGTCGATCAGCTTGTTTTTTTTGTTTGTTTGTTTTGGTTTTTTACATAAACAGACAGATATTGTGGTAAATCTATGGTTTCTAAAGATTCTGACAGATCATCTCTTATTATTATATTATTATGACATTTTTACAAAGGATTTTCCAATAAAACTCATAAACTGACAATCACAGGTGGAAGCTACAGCTCCAGGCTGAGCCTAAATGTGTGTAGAGAAATGACCTTCACTAAAAACTGCTGCCCATGATGGTATGCAGATAAATAACACTGGGGAAAAGGTCACACTATACAAGCTCTAATTTTACAGATTTCTACCCGCCTTCGTTATAGAATGTGACATTTGCCGCAATGGGAACGGTTAAAACAAAGATTACTTGTACTCTCTGTGACTTTAAAGTAATGTTAAAAATGCAGCAGCGAGCCCTGAGATAAACCAGTTGCTTTTAGTTCCTGCCTGTGTGCATTAAAATTAAGTCTCTGTTTGATGGACATCTGAAGCAGTAAAAGAGAGAGAACTTTCTCCATCCTCTTGTTTCCTGTATATATGTCGGAAAGACCACTTTATGACTGGAAGGGATTCATCATGTTTATGTTTGTACCCATCAGAACAATGAAGAGAGTCTCGCCAGTTGGCCGGTCAACTCCCATCAGCAGAACGCAAATTAAAATTGAAACAGAGAGGACAATTTAGTCTGTGACTCCAACGAAAAAGAAAGAACTCTAAGATGTATAATTAGGCAGGAGTCCAGGCGGAGTAGTTGGCAGGGTATGCACTACTGTAGATCTCCTACTGCATTGTCTGACAGGAGAGCTGGGTCTTTAAAGACTAAAAGCAGTGGTGACATTTTTCTAACTGACGGCAGTGTAACTTTGTGACTGACTGTTTATGTAAAACTTTAAAATTGTTTAGCCAGAGTCCAAGGTCAAGATCTTCTCTCTTCAAATCTGTTAATGTTATTATTCAACCTGAATCAATGCATTTTAGTGTAATTTGCCAAATGAATTTACACACGTTCTATTAAAGTACCACGAAGACCTAGTTGTAAATGTATCGGCTCGCTTCACAGTATTTGAATCTGAAATGTATGTTAAAGTGAGACACATAAATAACCAAAGAGTTTTATCCTGCACCTGACCAGTTACTGCTCTGTGTTTCTGCATTCATACTGTGTTAGGACAAAAATAACTTCCCTGTGACGCATAAGCTGTTAGGTGCTTGGATCCCGGACTCCCACGTGGCATTTTAGGACAGTAGTCATTAGATGATGGAAATCAAAAGTTGTTCTAAAGTCTTCTTTGTAAGTAAATGGGTCATTTAATGGTTTTTTTCTCCCTCTCTACACAGTCCACAAAGCACAGTTGTAATTCCATGAATGCAGTCATGACTCTTTTTCTAATGTGTGCCCACACACAGTGGCACTGAATGGACCAGTCTGACCAGTCAGGGCTCCATAAAACCTGCACTTAGCCAAAAAACTAGACACTTTTTTTGGTCAGGATGTAGTGAAGAAGCTGGGCTTCATTGCACAAATGCTGTCGTTTGTGCTGATGGCAGATTGCTCCGCGTAAGTATGGAAAGCAGAGCAAGCATCGCTGCAGGGGCGAGTAGAAAACAGGGAAATGAAAGCATCTATCAAAATGTTGGAATTGGATATGAGTCCCACGGGACAAATGAAACCCACCATGTAGTGATAGTAAAAAACCATACAACCTCACAATCGCACAACAATATACAGCAAATGATCAGATGCACTTCATAACTGTGGAAATCTCCCAGGACTCCTCAGGCTACGACTAAAGGATTGTGTTCAATTGAAGGAAACAACTGAATAGTAAACATTGGCAGCAAAACACTGCTGCTGGAAAACACTATAGGAAAGTGCAAAAGGTGAAGTGAGTGTTTCTGACTGATCCAGCCAGAAAGTCCAAGGAAATATTTTAAGCAATTTGCATCTAAAATGTATATAAAGTATGTTTTTTTTAAATAAACAGGGTGTTTGTGTGTTTAATTTAACTTTACTTTTAGTTGCTGTAGTTTATATTTACTGCTCACTGCTTCAGAGTTTTAAAACATAGTGTTACATTAGAATTATACAACTTATGAAAGTTGAATCTCCAGAAATCATCAAAATTATTTGTTAATTTAAATTAACTATTTATTCATTAATTCAGACCAACAGAGCAATTTGTGGCTCCCACCTATTATGCTTCTGTGACTCGGACTCTTTGCTCACTAAATGATGTGATTTGGTAAATAATACAATGTATTTTCCAATTACAATGTTTTTACGCTCCCTGAAATAGATTTGATAAGATTTTATAACATGAGTCATTTAGATCAAAGAAAGAAAGAAAGAAAGAAAGAAAGAAAGAAAGAAAGAAAGAAAGAAAGAAAGAAAGAAAGAAAGAAAGAAAGAAAGAAAGAAAGAAAGAAAGAAAGAAAGAAAGAAAGAAAGAAAGAAAGAAAGAAAGAAAGAAAGAAAGAAAGAAAGAAAGAAAGAAAGAAAGAAAGAAAGAAAGAAAGAAAGAAAGAAAGAAAG